CGCGGCGCCCCCCCCCCCCCCGGGGGCCCCCGGCCGGAGCCGGGACCCCCCAGGCACCCCCAAACCGGGACCCCCCAGTTGCAGTGACCCAGTTGAGCTCGGATTTGTCCCAGCCAGGACCCCCGACCGCCCCCCTGGGCTGGGAACCCCCTGGGCGCCTCCCAATTGCGCCGCCCCAGCCGGGCTCAGCCCCCACCATGGGTTCCTCCAGGCAGGACCCCCAAAACGCCCCGGCTGGGACCCAGGGACAAACCCTTGGAAAGCCTCCCCCAACCACCCCCCGAGCACAGACCCGGGCGGGAGCCCCCTGCGGCACCCAACCAGTGCAGCCCCTTGTCCTGCTACCTCTGGGCAGGGCCTAGTGCCGTGGGGCTCTGCCGTCCCGCCAGGCCGCCCAGCACCCGGTGTCCCCCCTGGGGCTGATCATCTCCCTGCCACTGCCCCGTGCTCCTGACCCCGCTCCCCCCAGGCCCCGGGACCCCTTCTTTGGGGGCATCACACGGGACGAGGATGAGGACGAGGATGATGACGCACTGGATGCGGAGTGGGACCCCGACTTCAGGGCCGGCCCCGCCGGGGAGTTCGGCTTCGGCTTCAGCATCGGCCCCGGCGGGATGCGTTTCCACGACGGCCTCAACTTTGACCAGCTCTTCCGTGAATTCAATGAGCTCTTCCATGATATGGGGGTCTGGAGGCGGCCCTTCGGTGCGGGCAGCCCCGTTGTTGCACTGGGCACATGGGGCTGGGATCCGGGCCCCGGGGAGATGCTCCATGGGCTGCCCTGTTTGTGGGCTGGGGTAGGGGGTGCAGGCAGGGCTGGGGCTGTGTGGGGTCATGGGGACAGTGAGTGAGGGGTGCTGGCATAGCTGGGAGCCACGTGAGTGGGAGCAGGGGGCTGGACTGGAGAGCTGGAGTGGGGGCATGGAGAGTTTGGGGTGGGTATAGCATGTTGTTTGTGTGTCTCTCCTCCTCCCCCCCCCCCAAAAAAAAAAGGTCAGGCCCAGGGGGATGCAGGTCAGGCTCTGGAGCTGTTGGCAGAGCAGGGCCCTGGGTGTGCCCAGCGCCGTTGGGGAATCCCGGCTCCACCTGCATCCTCTGCTCCCCAGAGCTCCCCGGCATGGAGTCGCCCCCGCCTGCTGCTGGCGAGAAGCACGGGCAGTCGCTGCGGGACTCCATGCTCAAGTACCCGGATGGTCCCTGCCCCAGGACCCCCGTGGAGGACCCCGACTCAGGCGGGGGCTTGGGGGATGGTGTTGGCCCAGCAGCCCCAGGCAGGAGGCCCTGGCAACCATTTGCAGGGGTAGGTGCAAGGGGAGGGGTGTCTTGCCTGGGCAGTGTGAGATCCCACAGGTAGCTTGCAGGTGTGTGTGGGGAATCACCTGCTCCTTGTGAACAGGCCCTTCCCCAGGGACAGCAGCTCTGTGAGGTTCCCCTGGACTGCGCAGAGCTGCTCCAGTCTCTGGTAACACCTATGCTTTCCATCGCAGCTGGAGGATGCCCGCCTGCCGGTGCCGCCTGCTCTCAAGGAGGATAGAGGTCCGTGCCTGTCAGGCTAGAGGCAGCCTTCCCTCTGGGAGCACAACCAGGGCTGCCTGTCCTGGGGCTGCTCTGGACAGCTGGGAGGGGGTGGCTCAGCCTTGGACCCAGGCCCCTGCTGCTCTTCCTGTGATGTGGGGCTTGAGCCTAATGCCTGTAGCAGCAGCATGACACAGGAGTGATCTTGTCTGGGGTGGGGAAGGAGAGGCCTATACCGGCCTCATGCTGTCTCTCCTCCTCAGATCTGGACTCCCAGGTCTCCTCAGGTGGGCTGGAGACAATCCTGAGGCCAAGTGAGCCGAAATCCCACTCCTGTTTCCAAAGCGTCTCCATCACCACAGTGACCAGGCCTGATGGGGTGAGTGATCTGGGTGTAAGGTCTGGTCTTGGGCACAGGGGACATGACTCCCTGGAACCCCTTGTTCTTGGTGGTGGGCTTGGACTGGGGTGGGGGCAGTGTCTTTCTACTCCTCCAAGGCTCAGATGTCTGGCTCTGGGCCTGGGGCTGATCTTGGGTCGTGATGGAGCAAGGGCTTGCTGTCCCGGGGAGGTGGCTACACAGGATCCTCACTCTGGGCATGGCAGGATGTGGGTCTGGGGTGCCTGGGCCTGCCCTAGGCTCCAGGGGTGACCAGAGTTTGTTGTCACTTGTGCAGACTGTGGAGGAGCGTCGAACAGTGCAGGACAGCCTGGGCCACCGGGAAACGACAGTGACCCAGTGGCACAGGGACCAGGCCATCACCACCATGGAGCCTGGGCAAGGCAGGGACAAGGCAACCAGCATGGACAACTGCGAGTGTGAGCTGGAACCTCCCTGGGGCTGTGCCAGGGGTTGCCTGGGACAGGGACTGTCTGGGAGACACCCTCCTCCCCCCCCCCCCAGGGGGGGGGCCAGACCCCCCCCCCCCCCCCCCCCCCCCAAGTGAGTGAGCCAGCTCCCCTCTGTTCTGCAGGGGAACCGGCATGGTTCACGGGCATCTGGCAGCAGCCGGGAGAGCCCCGCATCCCGGACCTGAGGGACTCCTCTCTCCTGGGCGGCTTCCTGCACCGCTGGTTCTCAAGCCGGTAGCTCTGGGGTCTGTGTCCACATCTGCACTGCAGGGACAGGGGCCAAGCGCTATGTGCTGGGGGGAAGGCTACTGCCCAGGACATGTCTCTAGTCCACAGTGGCAGTCGCTCTGCTGCTAAGAGACATGGCATCCTCTGCCTCCCCGTGCCACCTGTCAGAGGGGACGAGGTGACCCTGCTTCATGCTGCAGTGTGCCTTGGCTGACTGCCATGCAGCTGGGCCACCTGGCTGGCATCCTTGCTGGAGATGCAGTAGTGCCTGCTGCAGTGGTCCTGGGGGGTGGGTACCAGAGCCTAGTGTGCCAGGGCAGAGGCTGCTTCATGGGCTGTGCTGTGGGAAGAGCAGGGCCAAGGCAGAGGGGAGGCACTCAGGCCTGGGGCAGTATGTGCTCTCAACCTAGACATGGGGCCTGTCCAGGGGGGCCTTCCTATTCCACCTCTCCTCTCCAGCTATGGCTGGGGTCACCTCTCAGTAGGGAAGGGCGAGCAGGCTCTGGGGCAGTCTCACAACTCTGTTCTCACTTGCAGGTGTCTGATCCTAGCAGGGAATGCAGGGACTGTGTTGGGTCGTCTCGTCCTCCTGGTACTGGTGTGCACAGAGTAATAAAGTCTATTTATGCTAACAGTCATCTTATGGCTTGTCTGTGGCTCCTGATGCCAGGCTGGGTAGAGCCTGGGGTAGTCCCCTGTTCTGAGCCAGGAGCTGCCCCCCTGACCAGCCTTGGCGCTATCCCCCTTGTGGGTGCAGCTATCCGCAGGCTCCTGGCTCTGTGCCGTGCCTTGCCCCGCCCTTCCTGCTCCACTTCATTACATCCCCTCATGCTGAGGCCTCCTGGGGCCATTCCCAGGGGCTGCTGCTGGGAGCCTTTCCAGGGCCATTTCATTAGCACTCATTGCTGTGCCAGGGCTGCCCGTGCCTGAGCATCTTGCCAAGAGGAGAGCCCTCCCCATGCCAGTGCCAGGCTGGAGAACAGGGTCTTGGGCACTGCTCTTGCCCTCTTGGGGGCTTTTAACTGCTGCCTAGAAGCCCCCTCCTTCCCCACCCTTGTTTTCAAGGGTGATAAGTGAAGGCCAGGCCCATGCAGGCATCCTTCACTCCCTGCTTTGGTGCTAGGGGGGCTGACCTGGGGGGGTGGCATGGGCTGGGCCTCTTCCCCTTGGGCTGAGGCAAGGTTATTTCCCATCTGCGTGGTCCTGGCAGTCCTGCTGCTAGCCCTGGGGTGAGGAGCTGTGGGCTCTGGCTGTCCCGTGGCTGGCTATGGAGAGCGTGGGGGCCTGATCCTGGTAGACCTCGATCCTGGAGACGGGAGGGTGGGGTGGGCTGCCTCATGCTCACTTGATTGGAGTGAAAGTCTGTGCCTTATCACTAGCTGCAGATAGGAGCCCATGAGGCTCAATAAAAGTGCTGGGCTAGCATAAAGCTCCCTCTTGCTGCTGCTGCCTAGGACTGCCACGGTCTCTGCACGCTTCCTGGCAAAGGCTGGGACTCTGCTCCGTGTCCGCAGCCGCCTGGTCTGGGAGTGCCTGGCTGAGTTGCTCGCTGTCTTTGTGCAGATGGTGAGTGCCATGGGGGAAAGGCTTGGGCCCAGTGAGGGGAGCCCTGGGCTGGTAATGGGGATTACAAAGCAGGGGGGGGTGCTGGCAGGGCTGGGGGCAGCAGGTTGGAGCTGAGGGGCACCAGCAATGCAGAGATTCACAGACTTTTACCCCAAGAAGCTGTGATGCAGGTGATGTGGGGTTGGAGGGGCGGGATGGGCTGTGGCTCCCCCAGCCCTACCACCAGGTGTGGGTGAGTGCTGGACCGGAAGGAGCTGGACCCAAGAACAGCTGCTGGGAGCCAGCAGCCCACCCAGGCCAGCCATGCAGCCCCAGTGGGTTGCCTGGCCTCAGTGTGTCTGAGCTCTGGCAGCTGGAGGGCCTGAGGGAGTCTCGGCCCTGCGCCAGCCTCTGGACATTGACACCAGCACTGTAGTGAAAGCAGCCGGGACTGAGCGAAGCTACAAAATGCAGCAATGGAAACCTCTGAACCAGTTACAGGAAGTGGAGCAGAGATGGGGCCAGGACTCCTGGGTTCTCTGGCCAGCTTTGGGGAGGAGTGTGAGGTCTAGTGGTTAAAGTAGG